CCACCCCCCCCCCCCGGATGTGTAGGGTCTGCTTAAAAGATGTAATTATCGTAATGCATATTAGGTACACATAAGGGGTGGCATATTGACATTGGTTCGTTTATAATCGGGTGGCAAAGTATCAAATCGAATCAAAGACAGATCGGTTAAAGGGTCACCATCCATCATAAATATAAAAACGACCAAATTGAACGAAAACCATTTTCACATATTTCTATAAGCGTGTGGAATTTACTCTAGTTACTTTAACTTTAACTGTCATAAATAATACGGGCATATATTTTTTATTATCACTCATTATTCTGTAATGATTCATATCAAATGGTTGAATATTGCCTTCTGAGTAAAGGTGAGTCTCAACTCGGCGAAATCGCACAAAGGGGTAAAACGGCAATCAGAAACAATAACCATTTACATAGGGAATTTCCCTGGGGTGCCATTAATCACAATAAAAGTTGGAGGCCCGTTTAACCCGGATGCCGTCGGATATTAGATGTTGTTGAGGTGTCTCGGTTCGGTATTTCGTACCGGGTTGAGGGTTGCGGTTTGGTTGAGGATACAGAGGGGTAGCAAGGCGCAGACCCCTCAAGCATTGATCCGACACTGTCTCCCACCACCAGTGTCTTTATATATCTCACTAGATACAACCCTCCACCCTTCCCCGAGCCACCCTAACCTAACCTCGGGTAATAAAGCACAAGAAAAACTTTGCAGTAGGAAAAGATATATAGGGATATTGTAAAATCTCCTGTTACAAATTTTCCAATGGCATTGAATATATCACTTTTTTTAAATAAAAAAAGGGCATCCAGGCTTAAACAAGAATTATGAGGAAGCAGTAATTATTATGTATTATGATATTTGCTTATAAAAATAAATCTGTCAACCGTATGCTATAGGAGTCTACATATTAAAACACACACTATTGGCAAATTAACAGACAGGCCAACCAACCTTTATTGACTCATGTATAACATTTAGATAAAACTGAAGGCAAAGAATCATTAATCGGTTGTCCTGTGAGTCTGGTTAATAAGAGTATCTTAATGGTAAACTAAAAGACTGACTAATCATTATCGCATAAAGATAATGAAAGAAAAGATTGTCAGCGGGTCCGCCTAGTCTCGCTAGTCTTATTGGTCTTAGTTTAGTTGTAAACGTTGGGGCCTGTTGAGAACTAGTGTACCAATTTTCTCTTGTATAATGAATTTCAGTTTTTTTTTGCTGGATTGAGCATTTCACCGCGAGCGGAAACCTTCTTTTTATTCGCCCTTTATTATTGTACTTCATTATTATTAAACTGCGGTTTTCTCCTTTCAAAGGAAGAAATTTTTAGGAAATCTTCTGCTGCTTCCAATACTATATGTACACCCAGTTCGTCAGCAATGTACAATGTACATGTAGGATGTTGTAATAATCCTGAGAAACAAACTAGAAAATGCCAATATGTTTTCTCTCTCACTCACTCTTTTTCTCTCTCTAAATAAATAAATTGATATAATATACATGGTAGTCAGTGTATCATGTAACAACAAGTTCATGAGTACTATACAATAATTAGATCTTCCCGATCACCTAAAATCTCGAATTTGGTGCGTCAGTGGCCGCAAAGGTTTAGGCGTTGACACGACGCTCATCGCTGTAAGGTAAAGGTCCCGGGTTCGAATCCAGAGGCCCTGCATTCTAACAAAAACACCTGCACCACGAGGGTTTATATAACTTCTGCTGTTGCGAACCCTCGTAAAAAAAAATGAAAAAACAAATCTTGAATTTCACTGTGATAAAAATAATTATCGATTAACGGTCACTAATCACCACACAATAATGATTGGGATGATCACATAAATTCATCACAATCATCATTTTTATCACAGTGAAATTCAAGATTTTAAGCGATGGGGAAAATCTAAGTAGGACAGATGAACCTGTTATTACATGATTCTATGACTACTATAGGCTATATATATANAGATTATAATTATATAAAGTAGATAGATAGATATTCTACAGAGAAAAAAGAAAAAAGTGAGAAAGATAGATAAAGAGAGGGAGGAGAGAAAGAAAGAGAGAGAGAGAGAGAAAGAGAGAGAGAAAATGAGAGAGAATGAGAGAGAAAGAAAGAGAAAGAGAGAGAGAATAAGAGAGAAAGAGAAAGAAAGAAAGAGAGAGAGAGAATGTAAAATTTTTTATACTTTGTAAAATATTTACAAAATGTAATAATAAATCCTTTCTACACTACAAAAACCCAAAAAACCTTTAAGCCAATGTAGAGCCAAATCATCTAATCATAATAATGAAATACAAATACCATCAAACAAACTATAAAACAACATAAAATTACTGTAAACCGAAATATTTAAGTGTGAGAGAGTGAGAGAGAGATGGTGAGAGAGAGAGATGGTGAGAGAGAGAGAGAGAGAGAGAGAAAGAGAGAGAGAGAAAGAGAGATTTTGACATTTTCAACGAACCTTAGGGTGCTCACAGTAGGAATTGTTATTTTCCCGTAGAGAAAGGAGGGCTGGGAAAAATGAACAATACAGGGTGAGAGATACGTGTGACGAAGAAAAAGAGTAGGAGGGAGGCTTTTTATGGTAAAAGGTTCGGTTTATTCCATCCATAGTAGCTTTTTACAAATGGTTTAAGTCTTAAGAGACAAGATTGTTGTATTGATTCTATAAGAAAATAAGGCTTTTATGTCTATGTAGAATTATTTGCGTAACCAGGCAACACTTTTATGGGCAAAGAGACTGGAATGAAGTGAATTTACAGACTTTAGCCGCCCGTTGCTTTTGAACACAAATAATGATGTGAAAGCGCGATTCAGCACTGACGGCGGACTCCGCGTCTTTTCTTTTTTCACAGGTAGGAAAATTTATAAAGTCGTATAAAGAACGCCGGACCACCGATGGAAATATTGTCTAATTGTGGTGGGCACGATCGAACCGGACCTGCCGTGCGAATGTGCCCCAACGAAACGTGTTAAGTATGTGAAATTGTACGGCGTGTCTTTGTGTTAGTGGAGGGCAAAAAGATAAGGAAAGGGCTATGATTGATACCGTCGAGGAGTTACGGCGAGGGGTGGCCGCGGAGATCACGTCAATTCGTAATTACCCTTCATATCTCGCTCCCGGCCAACCTACATCATCACACATAAAGCTCGCACGGTCACGTAAGACACAGTTTTTAAAACCTGGTTTCGATCCCTTCATCTTATTTACCGCTTCATATCACGTACCCATTACTCTCAATGACCAACACGAAAATGTCACTTTGTCCCTCAAGAACATACAACCGGTTTAACATGCTCACATATTATTATAGTAATAGTGGAAACCATCGTATAGCGATTATGTTATAAATTTCTCGAAAATAATATAATCATGGTATTAAAACATCAAGCTCACCAATAGGGCAAATAATTTTCTTTAAATTTGATCTATAATGCGACACCTTGAAAGAAGAACACAATTTTAGAGGAATGGTTACTTTTTACTACCTACACAATAAGGTATCTCTCTAATAATTGTGATATTATTCTTCCATAATATAATAATCTTTCTCTCTCTCTCTCTCTCTCTCTTACCCTCTCATTCATTCTCTCTCTCTCTCTCCTCTCTCACTCTCTCTCTCTCTCTCCCTGACCAAAGGAGTTTTTGTGATATCGGGTGGCGTTCCTACAAGCTCTTTATATGTACCCAAAAGAAATTACTCGGCCGAGCAAGTCAGAAATTGGATGTCCTTGCGTTTATATTTATTTGTATATGGATTGCTTGCCATTTCTACGCGCTCTCTACATGAATCCAATTATTAAGTGGGGCACATCGACCATCCTTTCTTTACACGCCGAGCACATACACGGGCTTTGACTTAAAAATGAGCGTCCTTGGCCATCCTCGCATGCCCTATTCTTAAACCGGTGAGGATCTTCTACGATTGGGTTTCTCAGAGCCACCACCCATCAACATTGTTCTTGGCCATCTCTGCCGATCCGATCCACCGACCCTGCCACCTCATTTTAATCATGTTATTAGTGTATTTTTAGCGTCATAGGGCGGTAGTTAAGCCCGGAGGTTGGGACGTCTTGGCCGCCAACTAAGGATAGGCTATGCGAGGTTGAACCCCTGTTTACTATTGGAGGAAACAGGCACTAATGATAATTTTGTGTCCGTAGCGTGTGTTGAGAGTGAAGGTTTTTATTGGTATAAATGTGCAGTGTGATGGCGGAATTGAGTACCCCAACTCTACCAACATAATTGAGTGAATGGTTAGTAAATAGAAGTAAATGGATTTAAGAATGAGTGAGAGTGTGAATAGGTTTGAATCTAAGAAATGCATGCGTTGGGTGCTGAATTGACCTTGCTGTTGACAATACCCGGAGTCCAAACTCGGTGACTGGACGGATAAGAACGAGGTCTGCCCCCGGACTGCCAAAACCAGAGTTGGGTGAATCTCGAGGTCTGCCGGTAATATAACAAATAAGAATGTCAGATATTAATTAAGATGAAAGTGAAGCGACCGCTCAATGGAGAAATAACAAAGAAAACCCAGGGGAAGGAATTTCAGTAACGACAATCGATGACCATCAGAAGAGAAGTATTGAGTCGATTGGCTGGATTATGGAACTAGGAACGTACAATAAGCCAGAAGGCTTTGGGAACACAAACCACTACTTCCTCGTCTCCTTTGATCATCACCATCAGCTATTAATTTTATCTGAGTTGTCAGGATGAATTTTATCGAGAGAGCAAAACCGATTCGGTTGATGCGGTATATATCCATACAAATTACTAACTTTATACAACTGGCTTTTACCTGCGACTTAGTCCACGAGGGACTCTGTTTTAATGTACCTTTCTAAGGCGAATGCAGAGTGCAATTATGGCATTCCAATATAATGTATATAATTCTAACTAACTAAACTGTTTTTATATTTAATAATTTCATAATAATAATAATTTCCTTAATAATTTCAGACTGTCCAGCGGGATTCAAGCTCAAACAATTCCAAATGTCTTCCGGTGAGAAAACTATGCGATGGAAAGGTTGATTGCGTGGACAGTAGTGATGAGGGTGATGATTGTAAACTGTGTGTTAAATATCTTTCTAAAATATCGCCCGAAGTGATATGTGATGGTAATTTGAATTGCCAAGATAGAAGCGATGAATCATGGCCTCTCTGCCAGCACAAATACGATTGCTCATCAAACGCGTTTTTCAATTGTTCGAGGTAAGTTTTGAGCCTAAGGTAAATTGTTTTCTACTGGCTAAATGGAATATTTTAGGTAGAACGCTTGCATTCCAAATAATTTAGTCTGTGATAACAAGACTGATTGCAATTTAGGAGAAGACGAAGAAAAATGTTATGGTTTAGAAATTCTCAATCCTCCATTTTCTAAGTAAGTGTTACAATTTATAACTCAAACTAGATTGCTTTAAACATGTATTTTTTTTTTAATAGAAATATTGGATTGTTGTCACAAACTATACTCGGTGAAGTGGTACCTGTCTGTATGAAAAACAGGCCAACAAGAACATTTGTCGATGGTCTTTGTAAAAAAAAAAAAATGGTTTCAATAATGCAATCCGTCATAACGTAATTTTAAAAGATAACATTATGATTGTTCAAGATGTTTTTTCAGAAGTGAAAGTAAATAAGTTCAGTAGGTTTATCGTACGAGCCAATAGGCCATTTACTAAGACTATCGTAAATGGGACATGCCCCGTCCTGTATGTTAAATGTAAATAAGTTATGTTTAAATGCTTTCAATCTTATTGCTATATATTTAAAAACATTTTTTGTGTCCAAATTATTTTTGATATATCAATGATCTGTAATAAAAGTGAAATATTTCCTCTTAACATTTGAAAATAAATTGCTTTAAAAACAGAAATCTTACAAATACAAAAACAGAACGTTCATATTGCAAGTTATGGACCTGAAGAACTTGCCAGAAAACGTTTAATAATTTTTTTTAAAAGTTAATATATATTTGTGATGTTTAAAAAAATAAAATAAAATATAAGGTTTGTTGGTAACAGTTCAAACACAAAACACATAAATTGTTCAGAGTTTATTGTATACAAAACATCTTTACTAATTTTTGCACATATTAAATCATTATTTATTTAATAAGCACTTGTTGAAATGTAGAATATGGCAGTTTTATATCTTCAGCCCACTTCGGTCTTTTCATGGGAAACTTTTTTCCATATGATCCATTCAGGGATGGAATTTAAAAAAAATCATTTTTTACCGGCTATCCTCGCCATTATAGGAGTGCCCGTAGAAATTTCAGTTGTTTAGATCCAGGGGTTTGTTCTGTGCTTCTGTCAGTTAGTGTAAGTAAGGGCCTAGAAAAAAGGAAAAAAATGGAAAGAACTGGATAAGATGTGAGAAAAGTACTACTTGATTATTAGATTCTCTTAACTTAAAGTGACTGCGGTGGCCGAGTGGTTAGGGTATTGTCATGCTAGTGGTCCTACGTTCGAATCCCGTCAACCCTCTTTTTCTCTCTTCTCCGTTATGGCAGGGATTACTTTATCTTTTTCTCATAATTTTAAGCGATCGCTTTTAGAATAATTTTGATTCTATGATGAACTAAATTGAGTGTTAGTTCTTTCTTGCAAATAGGCCCTTCAACCTTGGGCACCCTTATTGCGACACTGCTTTCAACGCGTATAAGCAGCAAATTTATTAGGTTACGTAAATATTTACGGAATTTATGGAATGCACACACGAAAGCACATAATGTAATTAACAGATTACAAATAAGATCGTAAATGTGTAATTTCGCGTTAACGGTAACAATGCGCCTTCTATATCGGTGGATAATAACGGATGATTTGGCGTTGAAGCCGGTTAGTCGGGTTGATTAGACCCCCATCAATTGCAACAATGCACCGCCCATCATCCTTGATTATATACAAACATGTTGGTAGCATTGTTCGCCCTACGCCCGGACAACATGTTGAATCTGGCCGCCCTTTATGAACAAAAATTGAATTATGCAATATGTTTATTGTAATTAATTTCCACACGAATTGCATCAGGGTCAAGCTGCTTAACGGCCACTTTAGGATTAAGGTTGATGGACGTTTATTTTAATTGATTAATAATTTCAATGTGTGAGAACCTAAAGCAGATTTGTTTAGCAAGTTTAAAAAATATCAAATTAAAAGAAGTATCATTTGTTTTTATATTTAATTTTTTATAATTTAAAAAAAGTTCATTTGATGTTAAAAAGGGTTGATTTAAAGTTAAAAAGGGGTTTGGAAACTAAATTTTTTTTAATTTGGCGGGAAAAATGGTCAATTTCAAATTATAAAGAGGTAATTTGTCGGAAAAAAAACTATATCACTTGTTCCTAGTTTTTTATAGTGGTTAATACTCAATGAATTTATGTATTTTTGTAAAAATATATTTATTACTAAAGTGTGATGATTAGTGACCGTTAATCGATAATTATTCAGAAATCGTGAGATGCGGTCTGGTGTGATAGGTTTCAGAAAAACATTTTCTTTATCGTGCCAACGTTTCGATCTTTATTGAGATCATCTTCAGGGCTGAAAGTGTTTCTCTTCTGTGTAATAGTGCCATTTTTGCGTATCGTGTTGAGAGGGCATTCTTTGAGCACACTTTGAGCCCTGAAGATGATCTCAATAAAGATCGAAACGTTGGCACGATAAAGAAAATGTTTTTCTGAAACCTATCACACCAGACCGCATCTCACGATTTCTGAATAATTATTTATTACTAAAATACAAAACAAAAATTGAAAGAAAATAGTAGGGAATGATCATTGATTTAATACACTGGCATTAGTTCGGCGACTTTCCAACAGTTAGAATAATAAAATAATCATGATGATGACAGACGTAACATCACGAGTCACAGTATATTACGCATATTTTCGTACTTACAGATTATCGATTTCAGCTAGGATTTCCATGGGAACATTAATCATCCTGGTCATCTCCGATGGTGGTTTCACCCGGATTCTTCCGGATCCGAGAGTAAATCAGGCGAACCGGCTATTTTACATATGTCCTGTGAGAGGGTGGTTTCGCTCGGGGGATGATGGCGCCATTTTGTTCCCCATATAGATAGGATGATGCGCAGCGATGCGTCCTGTTAGCTGTCCCGAGCGGGCGCATGCCCGCCTGCTCATCCTCTTATCTTTTCTGTTATGGTTTGTCCTCATTGGCCCATCCGCCCCACCCTCATCGCTTTGTCTTATCTTCCACCATTTTGCCCATCCCTAGCACGATCACCCCCAGGGTTTATTCGAGGATATGTAGTTTTGATTTTATTTGGACCACATAGGAAATTTAGAGAGGAGAAAATAGACTCTCCTCGAATAAAATTTGTTGCTCCCTCAGCAACATTACAAACTTTCTTCTGTATGAAACATATAAATTCTTCGAAATGAACTGTTTACCAGACAAGGACTGATTGATTTTTTAAAACAATGCCACGACATACCTTAAAATCAATAGTAAATTCACTAGTTTCGTGGTCCTCTTGACCAATTAATTTCTTACAATTAATTAAGGTTTTTAGTTGAGATAAAAAAGTCAATGGCACGAGCGGGATTCGAACCCACGACCTTCGGCTAGATACGCCGCTGCTCTACTACTTGAGCTATCGTGACCTCGATCCATTCCTTAATTAATTGTAATATATTAATTGGTCAAGCGGACCACGAAACTAGTAAATTTAATAAGTTTAAAATGAAGATACCTTCACTAAAGCTCTCCGTGACCATTTCATTTGTTCCCGAGAATCAAATAGATTACACGACATTTGAAAAATGGCAAAAAGGAGGGAAAATTCAAAAGGTGTGGTTGAGATGGGAAGTTAATGTCCCAGTGGATCGAGGTCACGATAGCTCAAGTGGTACATCAGCGGCGTATCTAGCCGAAGGTCGTGGGTTCGAATCCCGCTCGTGCCATTGACTTTTTTATCTCAACTAAAAACTTTAAATAATTATAAATAGTAATGTTACGAAAGCTCCGTTTTATCAGTAATACCAATAATATCTGTAACCCTCTAAGACATTATAATTAATTAGCAAAATAAAATTATTTTTATTGCGAAAATTTCAGTTTAATATTGTTTATGAAGTAGTGTAAACAATCATGGATAGAGCCAATCACAGAACACTCATGTCAATTTTACACACACCCACAAGAAAAGTGCCACAAGTCGAAAAATTATTTAGTTTTTTTAAATTATTCGGGTGTGCGATGCTCCATGATAAACGACATTACTGTAAATGGACTCTTAACTGCTCAACAGTGCCATGGGCCACTTTTGAATTGGCAAGAACGCATTACTCCATTTACGAAATGTGGCATTTCGTAGTTCTGTGTCCAGCTATATAGCGTCGGTGTAAGTATTTATTTTGAAAAATAGCACATTTCTAGTTAGGTCAGTTTTCTTCCTGTTTAATCGAGGATTTTATGATGCTCCGGAATAACTTACTGTTGTTCTAATAACCGTTAAACATATTGTAATACTCCTGCGGCAACTTCCAGCATAGATACATTCATAAGTTAGAAATTATTTGGATATATATAAAAAATATTTGTAAAATGACTTTTATGTCACGTGGACAAACTGATTCTAAACTCATCGACCACCAACAGCATTAAGTTACAGGTCAAAAATGTTACAGAAAATCCAAATATTGTAAATATTGAATTACCACAATTACGTTTTATGCGAAAAAATAAGATTGAAAGGCCTTAACTCAATCTAACAGGATTTGCATTTCTTATGCTGCGTTTTTCTCCTCGTTATATGAGCAAAGTAGTTCTAATTTTAAAATTACTATAGCTTTCAATGTTAGAAGTATCGACAACATTTTAACTCATGAACACTAGATGGTCTTGAAGAAAAAAAATAATTTGTTACTGAAAATCTTTCGAACTATATAAAGGTCATCATCAAGGTGTATATTAATTTTACAGTATGGGAAACAACAGAAAACAAACATACTTTTGTCTGAGTCCCTGGAAATAAAGCAGAACATTGGCGACGAAGAGGCAGTTAAACAAGCCGGAGAGGGTGATAAGATCTTCTTCAGAGGACATATGGAATAAAGACAACTTTCTGGGTTGTGCCGAGGTTTCGGTAGTTTAGTCCACCATCATCAGTGTCTGTATATTAAAAAACCAAATTAACACAAACACAGGGTAACTTAATATTACGTCGTTATAGTTACTTGGCCCATTGAGATGAAAAGAAATGGATAAAATGGTACATGTGAATATTTAAGAACATCTACAAACAGAATTTGAAATTTATATAAATGTATATAATTTTTAAAATTTAAGCAACCTATTTTTTTATAAGTTACTCTGTTTTTGTGTTAATTTGGATTTTTAATAAACAAGCCCTGATTATGGTGGAATAAAAGACCGAAAGTTCGACAAAGACCAAAAAGTCGTTTTTGTTTCAGATAACCTCTGAAGAAGATCTTATCACCCAAACTTGACTTGTTGCACGTCAATAAATATCGAAACCAAACCAGAGAGGGTTCGAAATAGGAGAAATTTCAAAATGGATAAAACTCTTTCCTGGTGGGGCAACAGTCTACGGTAATTTTCCTTATTTAATTTGGTAGGCTTAGCATACATAGAACTAACTCATTTTTCGATTCAGAACGGATATGTGGCTGCAGAATGCTTGAAGGAAAACAAATATCCATCATCTCTGAAG